ACTCCCACATAATCACACACCTGCACAGCTCCACCGCTGCGAGTGTTCTTCTTTTTCATGGCTTTGTGAGGCTTTTTCAGAGAGAGGTATCTGACTTTTCTCTCTTTATACCTGCAGTGACCCTTGGCTACACACACACAAGTTTAAACACCCACACAGCTACACACACACACACAAACACACACACACACATACAGACTGGCCTGAGGACAGAGATGGAGAGCTCTAATTTCCACAAGGCCTGCAAAGTCTCTTCCATCCCTCTAAACTCAATCTCCTCTCTTTCTCTCGCACAAAAAGTACACACACCTTATGGAATTATCACTGGAGATGCACACACACATTTGCAAACATGTTGCACTCAGAGAAGCACGCATACACCCTCAGGAAAAACAAGTAAACTCTTTGCTTTTCCTGTATCTGCCTATGAAATACACTTTATGGTAAAAAAAAATATTAGAGCCAACTTTACTTTTCCTGATGACGTGACTCTGGCGAACGGATGCAGAACTCTCCAGGTGCGTTTGTGCGTGCATCAGCTGCGAAACGCTGAAATTTCCCAAGGTGGAAAAAACAGTTTGATGCATTTACCCGAGTCCCAGGTTTGATTCTTGCACCGTGATGCGCATCCATCAGCCGCTTCCTGTCCTGCTGCTCTTAAGCGAACACGTCGCACCCCTACCTGCTCACTCCATCACACGTCGCCGCGGATGATAGCATCAGCTAAATCCCTAAAAACGTAAAGACGCCCAGATGGTCTGTGGCGGCTCGATCATTTGTCAAAGAAAATGATGCTGAGCAGAGGAGGAAATTAAGCAAACACTGGCAGAAATCATTTCTCCTCATTACTCGAGGGGGAACGCTAGGAAATGATTAGGAATGTGAGTGTTCAATTTCGTTTTTTTGTTGAGGCTGAGTGTAAATTAGCTTAAAATTCAAACAATTATTATAAATACAAAATAATAAGAGAAATGGATGAAACATGCTTCGTGTATGCATTGAAAAATCAAGCTGGGTATGTTTCGTGGTTCGCGATCGAAGGCAGTTTTGTAACATTTGATTCTGTGAGGCTAGCTGTTCTCTTATTCTCTTATTCACTGATCACTCGCTAACTCTACCATTAAGCTGGTCTTGGCTAAATATTTGTAAAATGTTCGTAAAATGCTCATAAAATGCTAGCTGTTCTCTCATTTAGCTTTTTTTTTTGCTGAGTCATGCTGATCACTTGCTAACTCAATTTGGACGTTGGCCTTGTCCGCATTGAAAAAATTGAGCTGAATATGTTTCGTGGTTCGCTATTGAAAACAGTTTTGTAACATCTGTGAGGCTAGCTGTTCTCTCGTTGACCCTTTTTTTTTTTTTTTTTTTTTGCTGAGTCATGCCGATCACACGCTAACTCCACCGTTAATCTTGTCTTTTCTGAAATTTTGTAAAATGTTCGCAAAATGAGCAGTAAGAAGTTAATCTATAAATCTAATTTTGAAGATTTGTGTTCCTAACTCGTGGTTCGCTATCAAAGGCAGTTTTGTAACATTTGATTCTGTGAGGCTAGCTGATCTCATTAACCTTTTTTTTTTTGCTGAGTTATGCTGTTTTTTTGTTTGTTATTTTGCTGAGTCATGCTGATCACTCGCTAACTCCACCGTTAGTATCATCTTTGCTGAAATGTTTGTAAAATGTTTGTAACACAAAAAAACAGAAACATGCACAATATTCGGTTAGCGCAGTCTTTCGTAACTTCAACTGTGTAGCATTCGGACGTCACTCTATAAATATTAGACTGTATATTTAATGAGCAGTCGGATATAAATCTATTAATGTAATTTTGACGATTTCATGTTCCTGACTCGTGGTTTGCTATCGAAAGCAGTTTTGTAACATTTGACTCCGTGAGGCTAGCTGTTTTCTGGTTTACCTTTCTTCTTTTTTGCTGAGTCATGCTCATCCATTGCCAGCTCCTTTGTGCTGCTGGCCTTGGATGCATTGAAACATCAGACTAAATATGTTTCGTGGTTCGCTATTGAAGACAGTTTTGTAACATTTGACTCTGTGAGGCTAGCTTTTTTCTCGTTTAGCGCTTTTTTTTTTTTTTTTGCTGAGTCATGCTGATCACTCGCTAACTTCACCGTAACTCTTATCTTGTCTAAAATGTTTGCAAAATGCTCATAGAATGTTTGTAAAATGTTTGTAAAGTTTCCGTAAAATGTTTTTCACAACAAAAACAGAAACATGCACAATATTTGGTTAGCGCACCTCTGGTAACTTTGACGGTGTCAAACCGGTCAACTGTGTAGCATTCGGACATAGATCTATAAAATTAGACTGTATTTAATGAGCAGTCGGATGTAAATCTATACATCTAATGTAGAGGATTTTGTGTTCCTAGGTCGGCCCACTCTCATCTGTTTTTCTTGTATCTGCTTGAATTCTCTATATGATACCGCCATAGGGATAATTGAGCTAGCTAAGTGCATTTTACACACCATTACACCAGCAGTTTAACAAGTGCAAGAAAAACTCGGCTATTACTGGCAGAGAAGCACAAAAGAAAAGTCCTCTTTGGTGTCTCGCCCCTTGAACTCAGAACACTTTGATGCGGCCGAACGGAGCAGAGGGGGGAACATCTCTCCGCCTTCGCCTTCCTGCATCCGCTCTCATCAAGGAGCGGTGTTTGCCTGCGGAGGGATCCCTGCCAGTTGGAGAGAAGACACTGTAAGCAATCGTCACTTTTATGTCTTGAAAAGCTGTGTTTTAATTAATGGAACCACTGAGGGCTACAACTGTGATGAATCAGAGGCGTGCGCACGCGCTTTTTATCCGTCTCCTCGCCGTGGAAACTCTCAGAGCATAAAAGCGGCCTGTTTTCTCGTATGTATGCGTGCACGAGTTTGTTGCTTTGTAAATGTGTCAGTGTGTTTGTCCTACCGGCTCCTGCGGTGACTGAGTGTCTCTAATTGAGTGTGCTGCTCACTCAGACAGGAGGTCTCAGACAGTGTTGACATTCAGGCAGTGGAAGGCCACCATTGGGGATGACAGCTGATCATTCTTCCAGCCAGCACCCTAATTACACTGAGATGGAAGGAGAGAGAGAGAGAGAGAGAGGCATAAACAGAGGGAGAGAGAGAGAGAGGTTTTTTAAACGACAAACAGGTTCCGGTTGCTTCCAATCAAGCCTCCCTTCCTGCTGCTTCGTCCATTCGTAATAGGTGCCCCCCCCTCTTCCTCGATGGGTGGAAACGCAGCCAACACCCCACTGCCTTCCTGCTCTCTGGCTGAGCTCATGTGACCACAATGGTGGCGCCGCAACCCCGACATCTTTCACACCGCTCCCCCAATTACACCAGAGCTCCTGAGTGTGTGTGCGATTTCATTGTCGCCGAAGAGAAAGCCGCCCCCTCCTCCTCTTCTTTACTCTTCCTCTCTTTCTCCGGGACATAAGGAGGCGCGCTGACGTCTGAGCGCACACCCTTTGATGTATGGAGTCAATCAGACTTCATTGGACAGTGTAGCGTTCGCCCGAGGATATTAGCGAGGCTGCTCTCTCGCTCACCCAGATGATAAACTCTTTATGTGTCCACAGGCTTTCGTGGAGCAATAACAGCATCCCTGGCCTCTCTAACCCTTCACAATCTGTTTGGAAGTAACTCAAAATGTTGACTACATCCCAGGAGTGAGCCAGAACATAAAACCTCGGTTTCAAAAAACACTCAGGATCAGGTGAGGGGTGCATTTTTTTTTTTTGAAACTCCTCTTTTTGCACTTTTTTGGAAAGCTCATTTAGCCTTAAGATGATCAATATTTCCTTCACTTTTCGCCATTCTCTTTCTACTTTTCGGGAATTCATCTTGTATTGAGATTTTGCACCAAAACTTGCACCTTTCCGACAGCACTTTTAAATCTTTTTATTTTCCCATAAAGAAACATTAAAAATCAGAGTTGAAGCATTTTTCATTGCTGTCCATGATGCTCTTGCTTCTCAAGGGGCGCATTTTTTGATTCAGAAACTTTAGCGCATCAACCGCCAAAAAGGCAAATGATTTAATGCACAATGTGTTCAACATTTGCATCTAAATTTGCACTTGTCCAAGAGTGGTTCAGTCCATACAGGGATAAAAAGATTCAAGTTGATGCATTTTTGACGCTTTTTTCTGTGTCTTTGCCACGTTTGCGGTGCAATTTTCATCCTCCGAAGTTTGGCGCAGCAGCTTCGTTGCACCCTGTATCCAACATTTGCGCCCTTGTGAGAGCACAAGATGATCAGTTGTGATATCACTTTATGCTCTCCTTGTTTCACTTATGGGTGTCAATTTTTAACACCTCAATCTTGGTGCAGCAACAGTTCGAAACGCAACAGTTTCAATTTATCGTGTATTGAGATTTTGCACCAACACTTTCACCTTTATGAAGAAACATCAAATATCATAGTTGAAGTGTTTTTCATTGCTGTCCATGATGCTCTTTCTGCTCATAGGGCACATTTTTCTATTCCGAAATTTGGCGCATTTTAGTCCTTTATGTTCATACAGGAATATAAAAGTACACTATAATGTATCTTCTTATTTCTTTTTTGTATGCTCATCTCGCTTTAAAGGTGCAATTTTTAACGAAGGTGCAACTTTCAATTCTTTTGCTCTGTTTATTAGTGTCGTCTTTTATTTGAGTCAACTTTGATTACATTTAGAAAAACTTCCACCATCTCTGGATCGATGTGCTGATGCTCCGTTTTACAGTACCGACCTGATACAGTACTTCCTGTTTAAAACCAGTCTGTGTACTGAGGTGAGAGCGGTGTTTGTGTGTAGGTGTATTGACGTTGTCCTCCCCTCATCAGCCCTCTACCCTCCCCTCCTCCCGTTGCTTCTCATTGGGACGCTGGCCGCCTAAGTCTGATCCCAGGGGAGCTCATTAGAATCAGCGGCGGGTGAGAGAGAGAGAGGCCCCAGACAGGGTCAGGACAAACTGCACCGCTGCGCTGCATAGTGATGCCTTCCGCTCCGTCTTTATGTCTGTTTGCTTTGGCCGCGTGTCAGCTGATCGGGGCGCATGGCGGATGAGGGATTGGCCTGTTCAAGCTCTTGACAACCATGCTGGCCACACACGTGCGCTGAAAAACACACATATAGACACATATGGAGCGTGCACACACATCCGCTGACATTTCTGATATCCGTACTCAGCAGACGTATGTGTGTAGACTAAGCGTGTGTGTGCGTAGTTCTTGAAATAAATATGTGATCAGACGGACACCCAAACAGAGTTGTCACCTCGCTGTCATGCTACAGTCAGGAGCGTAGTGTTCGGCGTGATAATAAGAGAACCATGTGAGCAAGGTCAGGCACGCCGCCGCCACTCTAGAGACTCCCATCACACGCATGTGAATCTCAAGAAGAGTCCTGCAGACATGCATGTCATGTGCATGCATGTCTGATCTGAAGAGCTTTGTCATTTACGGACATGTTTCTACGGCGTGCATGTGCGATATTTCAAATGAAACTAACTTTTTGTTTAAAAAACACAACTTTTGGGTTTTGTCTGGTTTGAAACATTGTGAGGAAAAGTTGTACCGATGTTGGGTAGAATACGTAATCATCTCAGCTCTCAAAAATGATGCCTCCTCGGTGCTCGGCGGAACAGAGGTGGATACAAACCTGACATGGTCAGAGCTTTAACTGCGAGAGAGGAGAAAGGAGAGAGGAGGGAAATAGAAGGATACACAAGAGCAACCTTTACGCACCTTCATATGTACCATAAAACATCGGGCAGCGATAAAAATCCGATAAGTGCAGCTCCTACAGTCGCCTATACTCCTTTCACAAAAACTTACTGGGATATTCAGTGGGGTTTCTCAGCTCAAGGAAGAACATTTATGATCATTACTTTATAATTTCCTTGAAGTAATAATCACCATATTAATTAACGCATAGTAGTTCTTCTGCCTTAGCGTCTTGGTCTGATTGTATTTCCATGACGAAATGATCATAAATGTTCTTCCTTGAGCTGTGTCACCCCGCTGCACTCCGTAATGGACTCGTCTGGATCTCCATACAAACAAGCGGCTGCTGGAAGAGAGTAGTTGAGTTGTGTTTAGTCTCTTTACTAAAGAAATTAGTCAAAGTTAAAAAGATGTTTGATGGCTAGTACTATGGCTGGGACCCTGTATGTACTGTTGATGAAGTTAGGTGCTGTTCTGAGCATTATTTGTGGCTATAGAGTGGCGTTTTGGTTGAGGTTTGTTTATGGCTCCCCAGACCGCTGTGTATTGCTATCGTGCGGTCGTTACTGAAGTTGGTATAACTAAAGAAGCAACATCAGCAACATTCATCTCTCAAGGGGGTGTCAAACTCGGTGTCACAGTGTGTTTGACCTAACTTAATTCTACGCTGGAGTATCCCTTTAAACCAGAAAAAAAAAGTTTGCTCTAAACTCCAGTTGGAAACTCCCTGGACTTTTTTTAGTTCCCGCTAAACTCCCAGCATCCAGATCAGCTCGAAACACCTCTCTAAAGTCATGTTCTGTCTTCACCGGCGACACAAAACCCTTATTTGCCTGCAATTTCCCTCACTGGTATCAAAGGTTAAATGGTAAGAGGCCTGATCAGGTATTGTGTGCGCTAGACAAGCTCATTAATGTGTCACAATTCATTATCGGAGCCGTGTCCTCACCTTGTCAGGTGGCTAATGGGAATATCAATCATAGGCTTCCACATCACGACCCCGCTCACATCTTCACCGCACATCTTCGCCTCTGCTGACTCCTCATCCCGAAAATACCGCTCGGCCCGAACAGATCCGTCTGGAACAAATGTCAAACACAATCCGGCACCGGAGTAAACACACGCAAACATGGCCGACATACAGAGTGCCATTCTTCTTTGCATGTAGCCGCCTCTGTTTTCGAGATGTTTACAGCTGTTTTATGGAGACGAAGCGATGAATGTTTGTGGACAGGAGCGACCACTTTTTGTTGTTGTTGAGGGTAGTGAGTAAGAAATAATAGATAAGCAAGTCTGGCCATTTCTGTTTGATTTATTCCCACTTATTAATCATATGTAGTTAAAATATACAAATTAAAGCTCCAGTTTGGAAATTAAAATTTGGCGCCCCCTGTGGACAACGTTTTTTTCTGAATATTAGAGTGTTTTTAAACAAAAAAAAAAAGCAGAAAGGGGAAAAGGGACCATATCAGTGATTAAAGGATAAGTATAATAATAAGAAAAGTCAAATTTTATAATGTATTAATTTAGAAATGATCATTTTCCTTTAAATATTGAGTTTTAACAGAATCTGAATTTAAAAACCATTAATATTAAGTAAGTAAGTAAACTTTATTTATACAGCGCCTTTCGCAGACCAAGGTCACAAAGTTATTAAGTTATGTTTATGTCTTTAAGTTAAAGCTCCAATGAGGGGTTTGGGGTTTTTGTTTACTTTGGCGCCCCCTGTGGGCAACTCTCTTTCTATAGACAGCTGAATCACTCATTGTAAAATCTTGTGTCTTAATTGTGTAAGCATGATGTAAAATGTTGATTAAAAATCGATTTGTTAAATGTTCAACTAGAAACGTTTCGTTACCAAGGAGACCATTTTCTAGAGTTTGATAGGCTATTTAAACAACTGGACTCTTCTCCTACTGAGCAAAAACCGTCTTCGTGGTAGTTCAGTCCTTCTTAAAGCTCTTTTGAGACCCTATTATGCTTTTCTTACGAACCAACCCTGCCGAATTTTGCAGATCACATACCACATTGTTTCTTGCGAGTTCGCTTCATGTGCAACATTGCTGATTGAGGCTTTGAAGCCAGTCATCTTAAATAAGCACTTTTTTGAATGGGGTTCAGGCTGAAGCAAAAAAACGGCATCAAAGGATGAGATTTTCCTGCACAAAAAAAATATTAATGGCAAAAATTAAAGCAAGCGAAAGCTGTCTTAACATATCACCCTCCAGTTTAAGTCATATTAGGAAGATTTTCTCCTTCGTTGGAATGAGTCACCGCAATTAGTTGAGGTAATTATATCAACAAATCAGGCAGTCCTGACATGTTAATGAATTTTCACACCGAAGCAGGTGGTTAAAGTGTGTCATTATTGCATTAACAGGCACACCTGTGGAGCTGAAGTCCTTCTTCCCTGCTGGCTTATGATACTGTATGAAGGGTTTAGTTAAGGATTAAGGAGGTGAGTGTCAAAGGAGAAGGAAAAGTACACGTCAAAGGAAGTAAAGGTGACATAAATAGCAGCCAGTCCAAACTCCACACAGATTTTTGTTTCTTTCTCTCTCCTCCTCTGCTTTCTTTCCACATCCGTGCTCCTTTTGTTTCATGCTGATAAAGACTCAAAGGTGAATGGAGTTCATCGCCTCGGACAGCTCAATAGCAGGCGTCGCCTCCGAAGCCGCTGCTCTCAAATTGCCTGTAATTTCATTTTTGTGTGTAAATATGTGTTTTCTTGTCAGGTGCGTGGCAGCGCGAGGAGAAAAACAGGCATGCCGACAGCTCTGACAAGCAATTACGCCACGGCTTGTTTGGGAGGCAGGTTGTTGGGGATGAGCTCTGGTCTGTCGACGGGGCAGAAGATTGAATACTCCAGAGACGGGGGAGGAAAATGGCCGCAGGGAGCTTACTCTACACGGTGAGACGACCGCAGGCGCTGTGCTGGGGTTTATTTTATATTCGAACACTTGTGTTGTTGATTGAGCACGTCTGGGTGGAGGCGGAGGAAATGATATGCCACGAATCAGGAAAATGAACCCACTACACAACAACCTGTTAGCTCAAGACGCTCCAGTTTGGCCTTGTTGTGTGAATTGACGTCTATTACAGGAGATTTTATCCTTGACACAGGCTTCAGATCGGCCTCCTTACATTAGGAACCTTTCTGCACGGCTGTAAAGAAACCCTATTACTTATACATGGTGATTTGCGCTGAATTCAAGGAGACGATTTGTAACCCTGTAACTATTCTGTAACATTCTTCTGTCGTTTGGCACATGATTACGATGCTGCGTTCGCTCCCTACGGCGCACAGCACGCCTCGCTGACACCGGTTACATCTGATTCGTAACTTTCCCGCTGTGAGTCTGTCGAAGGCCGAGGACTTGACTTTGACAGATGGACGGACCGGCGCAACTCTAACCGGCCTTGAACCGGGAGGTTTCACCCACAAGAGGGGGAGTCCCAGGGTGAAGAAAGACACGTCTGTGGGCGAGAGTACAGTTAGTCCATTCAGGGATGTTCCATTTAGTTGATTAATGGCCTAATTACAGGCCAGTAAACACTCCTAGGAGATAAGCCACAGAAAGGAGGAGGGAGGTTGGAGCAGCAGGCCGGCGACCAGTCGATTACAATTGTCCTTTTGTTCCTGGAGAACCAGACTCTGGCTCACGGTTTCAGACACCTGGAAGATTCTCGGAGCAGGTTTTGTCGAACTTCCCCAGGTTGCTCGAGGGCATCTTCGCTGCGCTGTTGAAGAAAAAGGCTCACCTTGAATTTCCTATCCTAGATTTATGCTGCCAGGTCAGGATCGAAGCGGGCCACAAGCCCACCTTCTTTTTTTTTTTTTTTACCTCCGGCGCTCAGTCTGACCAGCATCTGTCACTGCCAAATTTCAGAGAAAAATCAATCCATTCCAGCTGAGTCAGCAGTTTCACTCAGGGAGGCCTTTTAAATCGACACTGAGCTCCTCTGTCAGTGCGACTTCAGATTTGGGCCATTAAGTAACAATCCAATGACATGTAATGCTGCTGAATTTAAAAAAAAAAAGTAGTTTCTCTGATTTAGCGCCGCACTGCTGTAACTTTGAAGGACGTCGGATATTATATTCCTGAGGTTTGGACTGAAGGCGGAGATGGCCTTCGTGTATCTCTGCGTTTTGCACAGTCATGTCCAAGGGAAGGCGGGGTTTGGCGGTGATAAGGCATTAAGGTATTAAGGTATACCGGCGGCGAAATTGTTTTTTGTGGGATGGTAAGGGAAGGTCCCACCCTCCTTTGCCTCTGATTGGCTAGAAGTTCTGGCCTTCGGTTGGTTATTCCTGATAGCTGTGTGTTTTATTACCTTAACGCCATCAAAGTTTGTCCGATCAGAAAAATTTCTGTAGTGTTGAGAAGCTGAGAATTGTGGGTATGCGCCTATATAGGAGGTACTGCAGTAGTGGTCACCGTACGAGGTAGAGTACGAAGTATCGGCAGAGTGCTGCACAGCTTCTCGATATCGTAACTCCTTGAAAGTTTTCTCAATCTGAAGAATATGAGTATCTGTGCTTTCTGTCAATATATGATGTATGGTATATATTACGGTAATCTTAAATGGTACCACCAAAACCGCAACTTCGACAGGGGCGAGGGAGAAAAGGAGAGTGAAGTAAGAGAGTGAAGTAAGGCAGAGCACGCAAAATTGTGTTGTTTTTTTTTTTGGATAATATTAGTAAAGAGTAGTGATAAAAAGGTGACCGCGAGAGATGGAAACATTTCGAACGAAAGGACGTATCTACAAATAAAACACACACTCACTACTGTGAGGACGCATTTGTTCCCGAGTTCACTCAGTGCCACAGTTTCAACGCCTCCCGCTGATACCGATACCGGACCAACAACAACTAAGTCCATCGCCACTTATACACGGCTGATAATGATGCGGGCCCTCAGGGAAATAACGAAATACTAAAGGGACCGTGTCCGTTGGAAACCTGTGCGGATGCAGTAAAATACGATGGAAATGGTCTCTTTCCTCTGCGCACAAACTCTTCTGGATGGTAGTTTAATTGTTGGACTGTTGTGCACTTTTTAAGCACATTATGTTGTTATAGTTTCATTATTAGTGTTTGGTATTCAGTTTCTAAACAGTGTAAGCACAAGCCAACAGTTTGATGAGTCATAACTTTAAATTAGTCACGGTGATACCGTACACCGCGGTAAAATGTGGAGACAGTATGACGGTATCAAAATTTGGATACTGCCCAACCCTAAGGTAGGGTTTCCTGGTTCTTGTTGAAGGGTATTTTGGCGAAACTCGCTTGCACGCCAACTTCACGTTCATTTACGTGAATGCAGTTGACGACTACAGACAACAAATCTTTCATCAAAGTCAGATTTTGCGTTTGTTAAAAAACATCTGAGTGAATTTCCAGGATCATTTTTCAGCTTTAGAGCAAAAAAAAAGACATTAAGTAAAATTAAAATGGTAATTAAGTTTAAGATTTACTCTAAGAAAGCTAGAAGAAGGTGTAAACTGTTCAAATCATCCTTCTCCATCTCTCTGAAAATAGCATCTGGCTGTAAAAGAAAGAGGCTCGAGAGTAGCGTGTCTGGTGCTCCCTCTGCTATCCCTGCTCGCCGTGTGGGCGGCTCGCTCCAGCCTCGTTCCCCCACCACCACCACCACCACCGCCGCCGCGTCTCCCTCCCTCCTTCCACAGATGTGGGTTGAGTCGTTGCCTTTTGCTCCGAGCGAGCCTTCATCCTCCTCCACACTAGTCTGAAACGCGGCCAAGTTCGCCGCGGCTGCCATGACCCGCCCAGTGCAACACTTACAGGTGGTTCAAAGGCTCCTTACTGCCCCGTGACGTGAAACACAAACACGGGTTTCTCTGGTAATTAGCCAAATAAGGCGGCTGAATGAGCGGAATTGATTGCGTTATTTATGCAAGGACAAGTTGCATTGTGATGAACGCGTGGGCAACGCAACTAAAGAATTCATTGCCTTTCTTTTGATAACCTTTAGTCGCTGGGTTGCATAAATTTTCCTTTTTAAGCGTTAAACAAAATCTCTGCAAAGTCTCACCTTCTGGAGCAGATTTTGCGAATTATATCAGAAGATTTGTAACTTCCCGCCACTCTGAACTCCTTTGTCTTCATTATTTCTCACTCCTTCGCCTCTGCAAATAATCTACTTGTTTGCCCAAGCTCCATTTCTCACGCCATTATTGTTGACTTGCTCTGGAAAGCTGACATTTTCCTTTTAAAATAAGGTCTTTGGCCCTTTCCCAGGAACACGTGTATAAAATGAGACTCTCCTATATTGTCTTCATTGATTCTGTCATGGCAACCTTGTAACCGGGCCTTGCTTCATAATTGGATTGCTGCGTTGGACATAATAAGCAGCAATTCTCCCTGAAAAAGCCGTAGAGAGACGGAGAACGGCTCCTCTGTTTCATGTGTCACAAAGTGGCGAGGAAATCCGACACATAGATCAGTTTTTACTAAAAGAGCTGTGTCGTATTGTTTCTGTCTGTGTGTGAGTAAATGTGCAGTGGTAGGGAGTTAGAAAAGAGAAAAATACAGTATGAAAAGGTTTATTCATTTCATAAGAGCTTGTACCTTGAGTGTAAATGTTCGTGGAGACTCAGAGAATGGGTTGAATAATGCGATTAGTTTCATGGAAAAGGATGAGACGTGTTCAGATATAGATGTGTCCTCAGGTGTCAGGCCTCTCTGCGAAAGAAAGACGAAAATTTTTGGATTCTTGCCTCACCTTTTTGAAGTTTTTTGAGAGCCAAACTTTGAACGGACTTTCACTCTGAGCACTATCTGAGAGCTATCATCTTGAACCCACTTTTGGCTCACATTCCAGAAGCCTCCCCCACTGTTGCCGTGTTACAAAGTCATTGCCATTGGGTTCGCCAGTTTTTTTACTTTTTAAAAAGAAAAGTTTGCGAATGTGGCCGCACGTTCTGGACCCTGAATCCGGCCCTGAAAGTTTGGGAAAGGGAAAAGCAAGAAAATCCTTGGTACTGAAGGAAAGAGCAGAATATTTTTGTCTAGTTTTTTAAAAATTTTGCAATTGGTGACATCACAAATTGAGTAAGTTTCATTTCCTGCGTGGTTCCGTGTATTCTTGAGTGACTTTTCGAACTAATCGTGTCCTTTTTGATGTAATGTTGCCTTTATTAGATAAAAGACTTATTTTTGCCTTGTATTAGTTAAAGGTGGGGTAGGCAGGATTTGAGGAAGTGCCAGTCTTTGGGAGAAATCTTGACCTCTCCCCTTCCTCTCTGCTCCAGCAAGCCCCGCCCACAAACAGACGCTCCTGCTCGCTTGTATCGTTCCAATTAAATTCAGATATAATGCAGATAAATACTTCAGATAATTACAAATGGGGCCCAGTCAAGGTGAAAGTCAAAAGCATTGGTGCTACTGTAGATGCTAACAGACTACCAACAAACACAATGTTTGCAGGACTTCTACAACTAGGATAAAGTGACATAGTCCAGGACCCGAGGTCAACAGTTTAGCGGCACTACAACACGCTACAGCAGGTCCATTTGACAAGAAACACTTCTGTTACAGACACTTGTCTTACTTTGTTAAAGCGGTTTACCTGTCCAGAGGAAAGGTTACAGGGTCAATAAGATCACGAAGCGTTCCCCATCGTCTCTGCTGATGATGACCCGGCTTCTTAGCTCTTGTCCGGGTGGTCTACCTCCTTTTTTAGCGCCCATTATTCAGCTTTGGCTTTGTTTACAGTCAGAAAGAGAGTAAAATGTTGACTACACAGACATAACAAAACACTGTGATATCGTTATATTCCCAAATGTCATCAATAACTCACAGCTATTGACTGGTATTGAAAGATTTTTTGTATATACACCACAAAAAAAGATGCTTCTTTAACAGAATCCTGCGTACTCCACCTTTAATTTGCGCCAAAGAGTCCAAAAATTTTGGGGGAATGTTGTAGAAGAGATTGACTTGATGGAGCGTATCGTCATTTTCCTGAATAAATAAGATAATTTTCTCTCGCTTAAGAACAGTTCACATAGAAAATTGAAAAATACAGCGTTTTATAAATTAATGAAATACCAAGACTTTGAAATTACTGAAAACAGCAGATTTATACTTTTGCTCACAGAGTTTGAAGATGTTGCATAGAAAGGACTTTTGTCTTCGAGTGAATGCTGTACACCCTTGTATGTGTCTTAATTTTCGACATAATGATAATTAAATGCTGTGTATTGTAGTCAGCAGCAGTTATTGGGTTTGCACAGTCTCTCAGTTTAGGCTTTAGAGGATGGCAGTCAGATTTTGATCAAATATGGTCTGGAAATAACAACATGAGTTATATTTGTGCTGACAGGGAGAAAATGAAAAACGCTTGTTTATAAAATGAAAAAGGGAATTAGTCTGAAATCAAACTACGGCTTGAACCAGGCAGGATTCATATTTTTCTCAGCAATAAAAGGGGAGACTTTTTATACGAAAAAAACTGACAGAAACAGAATTAAAATTGTCAGCAGCCTCTGCAGTTATTACAAATCACTGAATGTTCTCAGATTAAATCGCTGCTGTGCCAGAAAAGAAGTTAAATGGGAGTGATGGTGATTCGGGTTCGAAGTTTTCAGATGTTGTGGCTCGTTTCTGGTTCTTGGAAAACTGCGAAAAGCGTTATTTCTGCACTTTGACGGCATCAATCTCTGCTGCTTTTCGCTCCTGTGGAAAGGGAGAACAGACAGATGGCATCTTAGACACTCTATCTCCCATGAGCCCACTCAGTGACCAGTGCCATGCTGCCACTCCGGGCACAGACACTGTGAGGGAGAATTCATTAGAGGGATCAAGCTGGCAATAAGGAGGGTCAGATTCACACCAAACACTTCCTGTGTCATTTCCTTTCTTGGAGAGCTTCGTTTTTTTGTTTTTTTTTTACTTGAATGAAAAAAAAATCCTTCACAAGCGACCGATTATCACTTAGCCTTGTGCTGGAGATCCACGAACGAAACGAGTCATTGATTCAGGAAATGAAACCACCTTGAGCCAAACCAACTGTGTGTAAACACTCGTTGTTGCCACACACCAAAACAAATCCATACAGAAGACCCAGTCCTTCAGCGGGGATTTTTCTAACACCTCACTCTGTCACAGTGTCTGGATTGCGGTGGCGATAAATGGGTCGAGGCAACCAATTCACAGGAGGATAACCTTTGCCGGCACGCTCTAACCCAGCCTTAGCCTCTTATGTTTGGCCTTTTTGAGCAGATCACATTACAGCACATGTGGAGTATAAGCAGATGTAAAAGACGGAGTCAAACAGATACAGGCGGCTTCATCTTCAGTCTGTAGTTCAGTGCGGTTTGTTGGTTTGAAGTGACCTCTTGATCTTTCTTTGAAGGAGTTTCGTTTGCAAGAAAACTGAAGAGAAAAAAACCTGGGGTACTTTTTAAATAGATTAAAGCTCTGTGCTTCTCTAAAAAACAAACTTGTGATGCATTTCAAAGTGCTAATTCTCCCTTTTGCTGCATTTCCACCAAATTTAAGAGGAACTTTTTCTCCCTGGTGGTGAAGGTTTCTTCAGCTCATCATTGTGGGTGCTTCTCCCACAACATCTCAAGATCAAGATAAGTCTAGCTTCTGGAACAAGTCCTCTGACAGCTCCAACCAGTAAGAAATGTTAACTTGGGCAGAAAAGTTCCACCCCCAAAGTACCAGTTCTTTCAGAGAAAGAGTACTCAGCCACAATATGTGTGAACTGTTTTTGGCTAAAATGGACTTTGTTAAGACAGCACTGTTTGTCTAATAGTCCTTTCAAAGTCTTACTTTAGCTTCTTTTCAAACCAAATTTAACAGGAAATTTTTCTTCCTGAAGCCCTTTTAACTTGTGACTAAAAGGTTCCAGGTTAAATAAGGTCTCTAGATACATGCTGATTCGTAAGCAAGCTGGAAAGTTAGTCCCCTAAGCACTGTCGATTTCAAAATATAAGACATGTTGAAGACTGCCAGTCCCAACCCCTAAAGTACCAGTTCTTTAAGAGGGTACTTTACATCAAGTGGGAACTCTGTGAGGCTAACATAATGGTAAATGTACTCCATTTAGATGGCAGTGACTTTTTCCCCCCACTAACCTACATATGCTTCTCTTGCTCCATTTCCACTAAAAGCACCTGGAACTTTTTCTCCCTGGAGTTTTTTAGTTGGTCCTTTAAGGCTTTACCAGCTACTTTTTGCGTGCTTTTCCTAAAAAGTTGGAATAACGCTACAGATTTGGCTAAAGTGCCTACCAACATGAAATATGTAACAGCTGTTAAGCACTGTTAGCCCCACCCTTGTAGTACCTGTTCTTCCCAAGGGTACTTTATACAAAGTGGGACTTTTTGGGCCGATATAAAGTTGAAACTGCAGGGAGTGTCCTGCTGAAGTTCCTACAAATGCTAGCTTTTGGTGCATTTCCACCAAATTTACATTGAACTTTTTTCTCTCTGGCGCCTGTTTCACAGGAACTTAAAAGTTCCACCAGCTAATTATTCCAAAAATATCGAAATATCCATGCATATAGGGCAAATATTTGAACTAATCAGAGAAAAAGTCTACTTATAGTAGTATTTTATAATACCAAATTACCAGTCCATCAGAAGATACAGTGCTCGACCCCAGCAGGAACCTTTTCTCCTTGTTTAGTTTTTTTGCACTGTGCCTTAAGAGAGACAGAAATTTTAGAGGGTACAGAGTCCTTGAATATAACTGTAAACACTTAGCTAACCTGGTGCCCTAGCAGGAACCCTTACTGGTATTTTTAAT